AACGCTCCTTCTTTAAGAAATCTCTCCTTATTTGGAGGAGACACCGAATTATGTTCTGACCTGTAGCCAGATCCGTGCAATTGAATAATTCGGGTACTGCTGCCCCCTTACCAGCATATCAGGGATAACCAGATACCTGGGGCTCCGCGTCTCCCTGTTCTGGCTGGCTGTGGCCTTGTCCCCGGTTACCAGACGGCCAGTCCCGGTGTGACCGGTGGAACCAGTCTCTTTCCTCCACCGCCGTGTCTCCCAGGCGTACTCGCCCACTGGCTCACTTAGAGGCTGGAAACAAACTGTAAGCTAACAACCAGCCCTCGGTTTGGAATTTGTCACCCGGCTGTAAGTTTTTACAAAGGGAATGTAAACAGGTAGAGGCTGACTGACTTCTGTGTAGAAGAGAATTGAGGGGGAATGAGGGGTGGGACGTGGGACGGGCGACCGGGAAAATGCAGGTGGCCAAACCATGCGACAGGAACAGAAACATCTCGGAAGCCTGGGAGCATGCCAGCCTCCTTCCGCCTCTGCTCCCAGCCACTGTCCCCCTGCGCCCGGGCCCCTTCATCCCCTGCCTGGAGGACCTGGCCATCAGCACCCCGGCTGGCGATGCCCCCCGCTCTCGGCACAGTCCCGTCTCCGCCACCCCGAATCCCTTTAGCCCAAGGAGCCGGGACGCTGCTCTCTGCCCAGAAAGGTCTCTCCTCGCCACCAAACCTTCCAAGATGTGGTGGGCTCCAGCAAGTTCCCGGAGCTGGTGTTAACCCCGCCTGAAAGAGAGCCAGGCTGCTTTGAATGGAGCTTCTGTGAGCGGCTGGGGTGGGGGCGGGGGGCCTCAGGGCGGGGCTGGGGCCCGTGGGTCCCGGCCACCCTTCCCGAGCCAGGCTCTCATACTGCCGCCCCAGGGAGACCGTCTTCACGTGAACCTACAGGACCCACCAGAGACAGCAGCCTACCTGGAACTCTCTAGAAGGCATCACTGTGACCCTCGGACCAGGTGGTCCCACAGTGGCAGGGAGGCGACAGTAAAAGCTGGGTTTTCCAAGTCTACTGCAGAACGTTCTGCTGCTTGTGAGACAGACCACAGGCTGTGGCAGAAAAGGCTCCATTGGTCCCTTTTTTTTGTTTCACGTAAAGAACATTTCCAAAATGTAGACACACATGGCCTGCTGGGTGATCCCCATCCAGTCCCTCATTTGGGGGGACTCTGTGCATCCCAGGAGGGAAGTATTTTGACGTCTTTTCCTGCCAAACCAGGAGGTTCCGCGATGATGTTACATTTTAAAAAATTAATAAGTGTCATATGTGTTTCCTATCTATAAACAAAGTTACACATGTTAACATTTCAAGTTGTTCGTTGCCATTGAGCCACCTGTCCTTATGGATGTTTGAAAGTGCTTAACCCAAAAAATCAGGATGTATAGACTTATTCCCAAGTATACTCAATCCCAAGTAATTATGCTAAGTTTGCAGAAGGGGAATGGAAGAGGTCCTGTGAGTTGTAGTTTGTCTGTAACTTGGTAGAGAAGTTCCTTCTTCAGTTTGCACGGTTGTGATCACCTCTTGAATCATCGCGTGTGCTCGGACGGCTGCAGCTGGGGCTGTGGACGACCCCGAACCGAGTTTAAACTTGGACAGACGACCCCGGATTACAAACGTGCAGTTTCCTCCAGGGGCGCTGCACGGAAGACATTCCCAGAATTCCCTCTCGGCAAAATGCCTTCGAGATTTGGCTCCAGGGGCCCGGGCAGTGGGGTCTGAGGGGACATCTGACCGTCTCCTTGGCTACGTTCACAGGGCCCCGGTCATTTCCACAATCCGGAGGCTCGGGGTGTCTCAGGCTGGCTTCCAGTCTTGCCGCGGTGGCTACGGGGCACCTGGGAACCCTGTCAAAGGTGGCCCACCACCAGGTGCCTCAGTAGGTTAAGGGTCTCTTGATTTTGACTCAGGTCATGATCTCACCGTTCACGAGTCCGAGCCCTGCGTCGGGCTCTGTGCTGACAGCATGGAGCCTGCTTGGGATCCTCTCTCTCTCTCTCTCTCTCTCTCTCTCTCTCTCTCTCTCTCTCAAAATAAATATATAGACATTGAAGGTGGCCCACGGCCAGAGTCAGGCTCTGTGCCAGACAAGGCTTCCCTCTCTGTTTGACCTTGACTTCTCCTTCCTCCCCATTCATAGGACTGGCTGACGAGCTTCATCCTGGCGCGTGACCCCTTCTCTGGGGGAAGGGCAACGGTCCTGGCAGGTGCACTAACTCCCGCAGCACAGCACGGAAGGGCTGGGAGCCGCCCCCCGGCGGGAGTGACTGCTACAGAATCGGCCCCGGCCTCGCTGCACGACCCCGTGGTGGGGGTCCCTTCGATGCCCTGCGTGTGGCCGGGCGGCTGGTGGACAGACGCCGTAGCTGGCGCTCGGCTGGACGGGCTCACTCTGTTTTCAGGGCAACGCGCAGAGGATAGCATCATCCCGTTTTCAGAGTGAGGAAGCTGAGTTCAGAGAGGCTGAGTCACTTACCCAAGGCCACGCAGTGAGAAAGGGGCAGAGCCAGAGTCTGACCCTAGGGAGTATCCGCCCCAGAGCCTGTGCTCTTTCCCTCAGCATGCTACGAAAAGAGGAAAACGTTAGAGGCTGGAAAGGAAGGGGTCCCGTTTCTCGAGTGCTTGGGCGCAGATCCGTCCAAAGAAGATGAATTGCCTTTTGTGCTCTGAAGTCCAGGGGGCACGGACTCTTTCAAAACCAGAGGGGAAGGAAGTGCATCGAGGGTTCATTCGAGGGACTCACAGGGAGCTTCTGCTCTGGCCCGGGCCCTTCCTGGGGAAGACAGATTCCTGTCGCAGAGCCTGCTGGAGTGGCTGGGTAACCAGATCACCGTCCCGCAGATGCCCACCAAGGAGGGTCCGAGGGGCCATCCCCCCACCAGCAGGGCCTTCCGGGCCCCCCACCTCCCACCCTGAGGGTGAGCTGTCAACAGGATGTGCCCTCAAATCCCAGCCTGGCGATGGACCCCTCGAAGAGCCTGAGTCATGCCGCCCTGCAGGGAGGCGGGGTGGGGAGGGCTCGGGGCCAGAGGCAGGGCTTGGCCGCCTACTGTGGGCCAGCCGGCCTGCCAAGAGCCTGCCCTGGGCCACCCTGATGAATGCGGTCCCTGCAATTCTGCGCCCACGCCGGGTGGATGCAGGAATGTGACCCAGATGGCAGGCCGCATCCCTGCCAGGTGGCCCAGTTAAGCCTCCTGCACGATTGCCCAACGGCAAGGTGACAGGGCAGTTGCGCGTGCACGCGAGGCCGGGACCTAACTTAGGCACGAGAGGTTCAACCTTGCATTTTTAAAACCTCTCTGGTACGCTGAAAAGGTCCTTCTGAGGAGGCAGTCACCTAAACTGTGTGTTTTTCCTCACTCACCCCGTTGGAGAGTCAGATACATCTGCCGTATAGACGTCGGGTTCCTAGGGGCTCCTCAGG